ATTAAGGAATACAATACATCCTTAAAATTCATTATAACTTTTCATGATGATTTAATATTTAGAAATTGAAAAATAATTTTTCTTAAGTATAATATCTAATCAAGCTTCTATTCTAAAAATAGTTACTTAAAAAATTATTGTAAAGTTTCCGAATGAGAAAGATTATAACTGCATTCAAGGTACACAAGTTTTGTTAGTTCTTCATGTTTTTTTGAATTTTTGGTATTTTCTTAAACAACAGTGCTCATATTTTGTAATAAAACACCTTAATTGTTAATCTTATCATCCAACTATTTTATCTATTGTTTAGTTTATTTTTCTTTCTCATTTAACAGCACCTAATGTTATTCTGTTATGGTCTTTAATTATTTTTCATTACTTACAAAATATTACTCCTGTTTTAAATTTTAATTTTCAATTAAAGAATTCGTTGCACTTATTTCATCATTATTTTTGATATTAACACTTCTTTTTATTGTTAAGTTTATATAGATTATTAATTATCTACTTCTTTAATAGTTTCAGTAAGCTTTTCAACCTTTTAATCAAATGTGATAAGCTATGCTTCGATATTATTTTTTAATGATTCTAACTTATCTGAGACTATTGAGGATTTTTCTCTTTCTTTTAAGTCTGATTATACTTCATCAATTTACTAATTCAACTAATTGTATTTATTAGATAATTATTCCAATCTTATTTCGCTTGACTGAGATAATTCCCTTAAACTTTGCTTTAGTTGATTATTTTAAATTGTTTCCTAATTAGATTATTGAAGAAACTCTTATTCTTATTTGAGGAATTTCTAATTAATATTTTCTTCTAACCCAATAATTTTTTCTTAAATTTTTTTAATTTCTTACTTTTCCTCATCAATTTTAATTTGCAATTCTTATTTTTATTTGGTGATTAAAAGTAATTATTTCTCATTTTCATCAGCTTCTATCAATTTCCTCATTTTTTCTGAATTTATTTCAAATTATTTATATTGTTATTAGAATATAGAACATTGAGAATTTTAATCATCATTTTTCTCTTCAATTACAATAAGTTATTGAAGATAGCCATTTTACTCAAGTTGAGATGCCTCTTTCTCTAATTCTCTTTAAAAATTTGCGGATTCAGTAAAAATTTTTAGGTATTACTCCTAAAGTTAACATTTAGACATAAACTCGTTTATTTCAGGACTAATTTTAATATCAGAATGCATGTTATTTTCTATGATTTTATTATCTAAACTAAAAAAAATAAATTACTTTGTTATTCTTACAAAATGACCATCAATTATTATTTGCAAAGTAAATCATGTTTGATCAGGGTTTCTAATTTTGATTTAACATTCTGATAAAACAATTAATCAAGTCTATCTTGCTTATCTTATTGCTAAAGTATGTGTTTATTTTTATCTTATTAGCTTAATAAATCAATCATCTTTTCAACTTATTTTTCATCTAATTCAAATATTTATTTATTCTCTAATTTAAGGAAATCTTAAATCTCTTAATTATTTTTGACAAACTGTTCATCTATAGAAGATAACATTTCTGATAACGAGTGGTTATAATAATCTTTTAGTTATTGAATTTCTTCTATAACCAATTTAAACATTTATTCTCTTTTACAATTATGTTTAGATATCAAATCTTCTGATTATCCAATAAAGGTATTCCACATATTATTCGCCTCTTTTAAGCTAACGTATTATATCGGATTTTCTTGAATACATTCCACGCAAGCAAATCGACCAAATTTGGGTTCGCTATAATTAATATTTAACATAATTATTTCTTTGTTATGCTTGTTGCATATCTAATTTAGACAAGGAGTTTTCTAATATTATTATCATAAATTACATGTTAATCAAATTCTTTTGTAGGTATTTGGTTAATATTTGCTTATTGATTAATTGGTTCACTAGATCTTATTAAATTTATGGATTCCATAATTTCGATAAAATTTTATGATTTATATTAAGATTCAATTGATTCCTAGATTAATTAAACGAGAGCTAAGTCCTTTTCCTTATAAACTTGCTGTTTGGGTATATTGTAATTAAAATTTCCTTTATAATTTTTTGATAGAATTTGAATTTCCTCGTCGTAATTATTGATCTCTAACTTTGATTCTTTTGATTCAATTTCGGTTTGGATTTATTCCATTTATTGATCAATCAATAGAAGCAATTTTCCAAGTTCTGACTTGATTTAGTTTTTGAATGACTTTATCGATGATGATAATTATTTTAAATTAGTTAATCTAAGCACATTTTCTTCCTTTGAAAGTTTTAAAGATTAGGTTTTCATGCTTTATATCATCTCGGTAGCTTCATTTAGCAATGCCATGTTTTCTTTATCAACTCTTTCAGCTAGACACCTTGTGCATAAATATTTGTCATCAATTCTTGTTTATGTTTTCAAATCGACTGCTACAATCTCTAATTTATGAACCTAGCAAATTTTTTTCTCAATTTCCAAATTGGTTTACATATGATATTTTAGTTTATTTTATTAATCAAAAATTTCTGAAAATTAAAATATAAATAAAGAATTTTAATGAGATAAATGATTTAAAAAATAATAGAATTACATAAAATTTGACAAATAATTTGTAATAATGGACAACATGCCTCATACAATAAAAAGAAAACAACTCTTTACCTAAGAGGATTTATTTGCAAAGCAATCTGAAAAATAAGCAATAGTTTAAGTAAGTTGTAAGTGAAAGAATAGTTTTATAGATAGTAATTGTTGATTAACTTTAAAATAATCAACACTTAAATTCTATTTGGTTAAATTTTGGATTGTACTCAGAGAATGTTTGAAATTTGTAACATTACTAATTATCTAAATTAGGGCTCAAAAATAGTTATTGCCATGAAATATTTCCTGTTTAATGATCCTTAGACTAGAATACAAAATATATCAATATTTTCCTTTTCATTCAACTAACATTACAAATAAACGAATCTTCATTTATAGCTCTTCTATGACCGTTCAACTATTGAAGTTAATAATTCAGCAAATAAGATAAAAACGAAAATGGTTTTATCATATATTAATAATTATGAAGTTTCATTCTATTTTTTATTTGTTAGTAATATTATTATTTTTATTTTTGGGTACTAAAATTATATTTTTAATAAACTTCCTCATGCTCCCAAGAATTTATTATTTATTAATTCTATGGACATAATCATTTACTTTTTGCTAATATACTATTTAAATGTTTACAATTAGTTTTATTTCGAACTCTCTTTAATATATTGTAATTTTTTGTTCAACATAGTAAAGAAATGTTTTAAAATTAATAGAACTGAATAGAAATACAGTATCCAAAATCATTTTTTTAAATAAATCCCATGGTGTCGTTTATACCTAGCCTAACATTTCTCCAATATATAAGTCATATTTTCCACTACAATATAATTCTATTTGAAGGATGTTAGGTTCCATTATATCCTTCTTTCTAACACAGTTTAAATAGTCACCATTACTCAAATAGAAATTTAACTTTTACTTTTACTCATCTAAAGATTCATAATATTTAGAAGTTGGTTGATGGCTGCTAAATGGAATAAAAATTGGATGAGTTTTTCCAATTTCAAATTTATTTGATAAGTTTTAATGCTTCCTTATTATTAAAACTAAGCTAAGGTTAAAATGTATAAGACTCTTCTTTCTTTGAGTATTTAGCCATTTCTACTTCAAATGAGCTAAATCAATCGTCGCAAAAGATTATAGCATACCAAAGGTAAGAGGGCAAAATACGAGGAAAATATAAGATAGTTAATCGAATTTTATATCAAAGGGTAGCTAACAAACCATTAGAGATGACTGAAATGTAAAATTTACAAGAGATTATTTCGATTATTTCTCCATTCTATCCCCAATTATGGAGATTATCCGAAATTTGATTTATGGAAGTAGAGGCAAATTTTTCTCTTTAATTTTTCCAAATTGGATTAAAACTAATTACTATTCTTTGCTTCATTTCAAGAGCTAGCTAAACAATATCCCTATATTAGAATAGTATAGAAGAATTTAAACTATTATAATTTATAAAAATTATTATTAGATGTTAGCAGCAAGTGAAAACCCTGAATAAGAATATTAAATGCTGTTTCATGAATAATTTTATATTTCTAAAAAGAAGATGGGCTACCTTCTCCTTTTCTAATTTTGAAAACTCTGCATTATATAATAAGCTTCTCTGATATTCATTCTAAAGAATAGTTGGATATTTTAAAGAGAAACAACTTAATAGAGGTTAGTTTATTTCCTTAGTCATAAACTAATTTGTGATATATATAATTCTCTCTATATATGTTTAAATACCAATAATGCTTTTATTGTTCAAATAATCGATAGATCCAAATCTTAAGTTTTACATACTATCTATTTATCTATCTATTGTTAATTTTTAAATTAGTTAGTATAAATTTTATTATGTAGAGATTCTATATTTAAGATTTCCTAACTCTTACTATTATCATTCACAGAAAAAGATAATAATAATGGTTTTTCGATTCTATTAGACTAATTTACTACCTCCTAATGATTAGAATTTTCTGGTAAAGAACGATAGACATAATAAAATATTTTGAACATCTAATCTATGCAAGAACCAATAAAATTCAGGAGAAGTGATAGAAAATATACTTTGAATTTAAATGGTTAATAAGGTACCGTAATTTTAATATATAATTTTCATAATATATAATTAAATATTTTTATAATTAAAATACATAGAAAATACTTAGTTTTACCCTCAATTACAATTTCTTGGAGATTTTGGAATATAATAATGCCCAAAGTTATTTGTAATAATGGTATCTTAAATATATAAGATAAAAATTGTTTGTGAATTTTTGAAAATTTGATTTTTCACAAATCGAGATTTCTTAATGTATTTAAATAAAAAAATTGCATAATATTTCTATGTTCAATCAAAATATGAACAATTTATACTTAAATTCAAGAAAATATTTGTTAAAAAAATTTGAATCAGAATATTTTATTTTGATTAGAATTGACCTTAAGAATGCAAGATTTAAATGTATAGGGTGAAGTTGAAATTAAATATGCAATAAACTTTAAAAATGTCTGATTTTAATATAAAATTAATCGAGCAATTATTAAAATAAAAAACATAAATTAATTAAAAGTTTCTTAAGTTCAAGAAGATGGTGAAATTAATTTTTCTTTAAAAGATTTCATTCTGTGATTTAGGTAAAAGATTGATACAGTTCAAGGTTTGATAGATATTAATTAAGGATGGAAAATAATCAAATATTAAAAAGCAAAAAATGCTAACAAAAAGAAAATTAATACTCTTTTTTGAGGTTGCAGACAATTATCATCATATATTGAAATTTATGCCGATTATGTTGAATTGATGATAGTTTTATGATTATATTGGTGATGTTGAATTTAATTTTTAGATATTTATTTTAGATAATTACGTATTTAATATATCCATAATTGCGTTATCATATTATTAATATTAATGTTCTAGCCTATCTTTGGAACAATTCTTTATTTGAGTTACATCATAAAAGTTTAGGGTATTTCAGAAGTGATATCATCTTCATTTTAAGGAAATAGTTTTTCTAATGCCGATAGTAATTATAATGTTCATATAAACATAGATTGGGTTGTAAGTGGAGGCAAGCCATCATTTACAGACTGTAAGGGCACAAGATTATTTGGTGGTTTTAATGCCTTTGGGTAAAAAATTAGCGTTACAAAGACTTTTATACTTCCTCCTCATTTTTAGGTAAATTTGCAATTGTAATTTTGGAAGTAAAACATGTAAATATTATAGGATTGACTCATGGAACTCCGAATATGCATATATTTTCGTAGATTCTTAGGTGGCATGGCAGTATAAATACAATTAAAATGATGGAATTTAAAAGTGTGGCATGAGTTTTGAAGAGTTATCAGTGAATTTGGACTTAAAAACTAAACATAGTGGACCTTCGGTCGTAATAGTGTTAACAACAAATTTAGATTAAGATCCTGACAATGTAATATTTTATATTATTTTATAAGGAATCTTGGGGATTTAGAGATTTCATTTTATCAGTTGAGAAATGTCCAGATGAATGTTTAGTATGCTAATAGACTGATACATATGTTTAATGCTCAGTTTGGAAGATCTTATAGACAAGTTGGACCTAATTAAATGAAAATGGAATATAATCTGATGGTTGGAATATTAATCTTGGAAGTTCCGAAGCGACGTAGTGCGGATGTAAATTAAGATAATTTAAATTAGCTGTTGCATTATTTGGTGGTTATAATCAGACAGGAGCTAATACAGTTATCAGTAGGACTTTTATTGATATTCCACCTCATTATAATTTAAAGATCCAATTTTTATGGGCTAAAATAGACTCTTGGGATAATGAAGCAGCTAAGATGATAGTAGATGGTGTTTTAGTTTGGGAAAGAAAATTTTTATCGTCTTAGGGCTACAGTTGGAAAATATGTGGAAATTCAGCTGAAAACCAACGAACATTATTTGTTAGAAATGAATAAGATATAAGTCATACAAGCAGCCAAGTTGAAATTTCATTCACTTCCACATTAAATGAGGGACCAAATGATGAGTCATTTGGTATAAGAGACTTTGTTATTTTTTATGGAGCCTGTACGAATAATTGTGCTAAATGTACTGGACCTAGTGGATCTGAATGTTTATGTATGTTTTTAAATAAATTGACTAGCTTGTGCCAAAGGAAGCTATAACACGGGAGTTATCGATAGCATGTGTCAATGTAATTTCATTTTTTTTTAAATAAGTGTGCCATCAAACATGTTATAAATGTGATGGAGAAAATATAGACGATTGTATTGATTGTGGAGATCCAATTATATATAATAAATAATTAATAGCTGGACAATGCATATGTTTATAAAAAACAATAGAATAAATTCAGATTGATGGGACAACCATATGTTTGCGTATCTAGTTTGAATTATAACTTTTAGCTTGTCATCCAAAATGTGAGAGGTGTTAACTTCCATTTGATAATTCAATTAATTAGTATTGCACAATGTGCATAGAAGGATAGAATAGAATTGTCTCCGATTAACTCAATTGTATTTGTAAGCCTGGTTATGGTGAGGATGGTATTTCTGAAGTTTGTTTTAGTAATTATCTTCTTAATTTTAGAATGTCATTACACATGTGAGAATTGCAATGGTGTTTTAGCAACGAATTGTACAACCTGTTCATCATCTTCTAATCGTCATCTGAATTCTGATAATCAGTGCTTATGCAACAAATTATATAAAGATACTGGAATCAATAATATAAACTGTTTATGTAATTTATCGAATATCACTATTTTTTAGATATTTGTCATCATACATGCGCTGATTGTGATTTGGCTGGAGAAGATTAATGCACGGAATGTCCATCTACAAGATAACCAGATAGAATTGGAACCACTTTCTAATGCTTGTGCAAAGATTCTCATTATTTCAGCGATAACATTCAATTGTAATGTTTGGAGTGTCATTTCACTTGCTAAACTTGTAATGGCCGTTATTCTAATAACTGTCTGACATGCAACACTACTTATCGTCAATTAGCAATGTCTAATTGTATTTGTCATTATGGATATTATGATGTTGGTTAATTAAAATGTTCCCGTACTTATGTTTATTATTTAAAGCATGCCATTATACGTGTACGACCTGCTTTGGTCCAGCTATAGATAATTGTCTAACATGTGCCTCTAGTAATAATAGAGAATTTAAGACTAATAGGTGTGTTTGCCAATATACCTATATAGAAAAATAAGTTGGTGACCCTATGTGTTAAAGTAATAATTGCATTAAACCACAGGTTGCTCATATCGTTGTGCTAATTGCAAAGGCACA